TCGGGTTCGATTCCTGGTCAAGGGCATGTACCTGGGTTGCTGGTTCTACCCCCGGCCCCTGTTGGGGTGCGTGTGGGAGGCAACCGCCTGATGTGTCTCTCTCCCCCTCCCTCCCTCCCTTCTACTCTCTAAAAATCAATAGAAAAAATATCCTCAGGTGAAGATTAACAAAAAAAATTAATATGACATATTGATGATGCCCCCACTTAGGGCACTTTTTTGGGGGGGGGCAATTTTAAGGCCTAGTTTCTGATATTTTTGTTGTTTTTACATATTTATCAACAATTACTTTACTTTTTATTTATCTTTATTGTTGAAAGTATTACAGACGGCCCCCTTTTCCCCCCAATGCCCCCCCCTTTTAGTCTCTAAGGGCAGGAACGCCGCCGTTGGCTGCCAATCATGAGGGCTGGTAAACTCGCCCCCAAATTACAGCCTTTTCTCCTGCCTCGCCCAGATTTCACAGGCTGCGCACCCAAATAAATGCCTCTCGGCTACCCATCCATCTAACAGCTGGAGAGACGACACTTGACATTTGGAGACTTTCCTGGGAAGACTGCTGCAGGCTTTCCCATTAGCTTCCCGGGGAGACCGCGAGGTCGGACGGGCCGCCTCGGAACCCGCAAAGGGTAACGGAAAACTCCACCAGGACGCCCGTGCGACGCCAACCCCCAGCTCGCAAATCACGGTCCTGCAGGCAGTGCGACACCGCCGGCGCTCCTCTGCGGGGTGGAATTAAAGTGATATTTTGAGCGACGACACCAAGTGTCTTGTATCTAAAGTTGGCTCTGACAGTCTTCGGAGCAGCGACTCGGACGTAGATGCACATTCCTCTGAGTTTGTTTCCTAAAACCCCAGACGGTTGTATTTTTAGCAACTGTTCATCTTTGTCCACCGCAGACGACTTCAACACGAGGACTCTCAGGATCGTTCGTTAGGTGTTTTCACATCGTAAAAATATGAGGAGTAGCTTTAAAATTCTTACAAGCCAACAACATGGGCTCATTTTGAAATTCGCTGAGCCCAATAGAAAGTAAAATTGTAAATACCCCAGGAGTAAGAAAGTGTTGTATTCTTATCAGTCTTTCAGGTACAAACATCGGTCACTTTCCTCGTTAGAAAGATAACTCATTTTAAAGAGACCCCAAATCAGGAAGTGTTAATAAACTAACTGGTCACTAAAGATATTAGAAAGACAAAGTCCTTCACATAACCTCAAACTTCAAAGATGGTGCAAGATTTCATTTATTGATACGAACACACATAATTTAATTAACTCTACAGCAAAGATCCTTGAGCACTGAGCTCAATTTCAAATCCCCCGTCTTCAAAGCGTCCTTACCATCTCCTGTTCTTGTTTGTTAGCTCGGGACTTCTCAAGTGAAAGATCGATGGGCAGCCCGCCCAGCATGGCTCAGGGGTTGAGCATCGACTGATGATCCCGGAGATTGGGGTTCGATCCCCAGCCAGGGCACATGCCTGGCCCAGCAGGGGGCATGTAGGAGGCAGCCGGTCAATGACTCTCATCACTGATGGTTCTCTCTCTCTCCCTTCCTCTCTCTCTGAAATCAATAAAAAATATATATTAAAAATAAAATATTGACAGGCATACGCTGGCCTCTCTAGATGTTCAGCCATACGTCCAAACATAGATAAATAATATGATTAGAAAGGAAAATGAGAGATTTAAAAAAATATACGCAGGAGGACACTGAAGAGTCAGGAGACATGAATGACATAACCCTCAATCTTGAATTAATGGGACTGAAGCCACTTTTTAAAAGTCAGTTTCGTGGGGCTGAGCTGCTCCTCACTGCAGGTCATCGCTGCAAGGCGCTACGTTTTTAAGAGAAGTGAAAATGTGGAAACATCTCCATGCTTTAGATTAAAATGACATGCTGAGCTTATATCCTTGAATTCGAACATCACTATGATAGGTTGATGAGGTTAAAATTGTTTTTCCTAGTACAGTTCCCCATTTTAACTTTTTCTGAGTAACCAGCTAATTATTGATTTTTGTTTCATAGTTTAAGAGAATTTCTTCGTGCGCCTGTGTTTTCCAATGAACATCCGGATTTAACGGATTTGTTCGGGAACGTCGCGGATTTACCTATATAATTAAAATGTCTCATTTTTATCCTCAATGGACACGTAGGTTCAGGCCTTTCGTCACACGAACCGAGCGAAACGCCCCTCTGCTCGCTCTGGCCATCGGGAGACGTGGCGCGTTCATACTCTGACCGTGTCTCTCCCTAGTTGTCCTGGTTCAGGCGTGTTTAACGGGAACTGCGCTGTGCACGGAGTATACAGGTTCCTCGCTCCGTCTCCTCATGATTTCACTTCCAACTACCGTGGGACTCTCAGGCCAGGTTCTAAAGCATTATTATTGCATTTTTAAATGTCAACACGCACTGTGGGGGAAGGACGGCTCCTGATCGACAAGACCAGGAATCCAGGGCTGAGAAGTGCCCGGGAGACGGTTCCGCAGAGAGGCAAGTAACAGACGCCTGTGTTCAAATCCTGGCCTCAGAGCCGACGAGACACTGGCCTTGAGTCGGTCTCTTTATCGCTGGACGGCCTGTATTTTTTTAAAGCTGTGAGACAAGCACTAACGATACTAACTTCACAGGGTCACTGTGGCCAAAAGGACGTGCGATGTTAGAGGCCAAGCAAGTGGTAGCCTCACCGCCAGGGCCGAGCGGAAATAAAGGGCATGTTGCAGAAAGCGTGAGGATCGGGGGCCGCGTCTCTCATGAGTCTTTTCTAATAACTTTAGTCAGAGCTGACCAGTGTTCCTTGAGGACTTTAGCATATACTAGTGGCAGTTAGTTAATTTTCCGTTACGTCATATCATATGTTTTTCTTCATGGTTTCGCACGGGCAGGCCTTGAATTCGAACATCATTACGAAAGGTTGACGAAGTTAAATTTATTTTTCCTAGAACAGAACCTTTTATCTACCCATCTGCACGTGCGTGCACACACACAGGTTAAACAAATAAACCCACTAGGAAGATGCAAGTAAAAATACAAATATTAAAATTTATAAAAAAATTTTCATCTAGCTATAGCCATCCTTCCAGCCACATATTCTTTCTTTGGGTAAACTGTCAAAATTATGTCTGATATCAAGCAGTTCCCTTCCGCAGGGAGAGGAAAGCTCAGACACGCCCGGGCTGCACTAACGTATACAGGTGACGGGGAGGTCGCATCCGACTGCTGATTAAAGAACAGGCTTAATGTCATAAAACAGTGCCTCTTAAGGAGGGAGATGTTGACAAATTAGAAAATGTTTCTCTCTATATGAACACCAGGCCTGACAGGGTCAGTTCCTTATGCAAATAACCCCTACACACTCGGCCCCATTACACGCCCCCATTAAGGTCCAAGTAGGGTACCCTCGGCCTGTCCTAACCCCGTAGAATTACAGATCCTTCTTCCCGCCCCCCTGCACATTCCCTATACTCGGGGCCTCCCCCGGCCTAGGCTGCCTTCTGGTAAAATTAAGAGCAGCTGAGCGCAGGTGCAAGGCGTCTGGGGAGAGCACCAACGTGGGCATCCGGGAAGCGCCCGACGGAAGGCCACGCTGGTCAGCAGAACGTGCTGGGGCCTCAGCCAGCCGGGACCCGAGTCTGGGAGCCCCGAGTGCGGGGAACCACCCGTAGAACCCACCTGGTGGCCTCTCGGAGTCCCAGCGACTCAAATCACTGAGGAGTCCTCCGGTTTGTCTAACCCCTACCCGCCCCTTTAGGTGCATCCTGAACGTTGCGAATCTTCTGCTGATCCCACGTCCACACAGAATTCGTCACTCTCCCCCCCACCCTCCCNTATTATTGCATTCATTCTATTGTGTCAGATGTGTGTTTACACAACTGTCTTCCCCACCAGGCTGTGAGATTATGGATGGCAAGTTCCAGGTTTTAATTCACATTTATAGGCCTAGTGATCAGTGATCTCTATAAAGGAGGCGCTGGTTCTTTAAATTTGTTGTTTCCGGAGTGAATGAATGAGACCGCGTGTGAATGACGACCTGGATAGACAGACGGATGTCTACAGATGGATAATTGACTAAATAAATGGTTTTATCATGGCTTGAAATAGCCTTGTTCAGTCTCCGTCTGTTAAAATCCTATACTTTGTCTTTCTATTCAAACCTATTTTGTAATTTTTCTCTAACACCATTTTAACAACCCAAAGGAAATGATCTCCAATAGCCCACAATAACGTAAACAGAAAATACATGTAGCCCAGACTCTCATCTGAGAGCGTTCCATGAATTCTCTCACACAATCCCCACCGCAACCCGACAGGCAGCAACTCGAATTATTACTGACCCCTGAGAAGACCATGTCCTGGAGCTATAAGCAGCCTGCCCAAGGTCACACCGTTCGAAAGTGCTGGAACTGGGCATGCGACCAGGTCTGTTTAATTCAGAGCCCAAATTTCTAACCACTTAGACTCTTCTCTTTTTAAAAAAAAATATTTATTTTAGAGAGAGAGGATGACCAGGAACCGAACCTGTGGCCTCCTGGTTCAAGGATTGACATTCAACCACTGAGCCATACCGGCCAGGCCAGACTCTTCTCATTTGTTCACGCTGGTTCCCTCCCAAAGTCAAGCGTGGGCCTAACAGCTGCTGCTCAATAAGTGGTAACTGATTAAATTACCTAATCAAATTTAAGCGGAGCTCTCAGACAACTATGGGAATCACTGCAACCCCAACACGGATGTCTTTAAATTATCACGTTTCTCTAAAAAAGTCTATTACAGAGAAATTCTCGCACAAGAGCCCGATTCCACTTTCATTTCTTCTAGGAGATAACAGACTGGTCAGTGAAATGTCTGGTCGGCCAAACACTGTACTCCACACACATAAATAAGCACGTTTTCTCTAAGTAAATACGTATGTGACTGATTTCACATATTGTTATAACACACCTTATAGAACGGCTCACGTGAACAAGTGGATAAACCTAACTAGAGCTGCCCGGAGGTGCCCACCTGAATATATCTGTGCATGAACCAGGAGGCCTGTTTCCCGTCATTCACCGATTCCACGGTCGTGTTGGCCATTCCGACGACATCGCCGCCCGCAAACACCCAGGGTTCGCTGGTTTGCATAGTTTCCGGATCTACTTCTGGGAGACCCCATCTGTTAAATTTGATCGGGCTCAAGGCTTCTTTTACTGAGAAAAAAAAAGGGGTGAAAGATAACAGACATGATTAATCTGTGCATCATGAAACAATAATTTTCAAATTAATAAATATTATGATTTAATAATTGTTCTAGGGATTCAAGCAACTGTTTTTAATGAAGCATAAAAATGGAAAGTGAATGAAATGTCCGAGTTAAGAACACAGGGTATGGACTTAGCCAGCTCTCCACACACCTCCCTTGTAGAAACTGAAGGCCACAGAGTAGGGCGATGCTTCGGGCCTAAGAAGCATGAATCCGGGAGGAAGGCCAGTACATCCCTTTACATACTTTAATGAATATGAAGTTTATTTAAATCCCTTTAAATGGATTTAAAATGTATTTCCTAGACTTGATTTGTCCATGACCATTATTTTCACGGGTTCCTCATTACTTGGATGATCCCAAACTTGCGTCCGCGCATCACAGGTGTAAGCTGTGCTGTAAACTCAGGTCGGTGACCCATCTCCTTCTTTCACAACAAATTTTATAAACAACACAACGTGAAGTCCTCTACACTCACACTAACTCGCTCGCCCGACTGCTGAGCAACCGAATGGGCCCAGCAGAGAGTCACCCTTAACAGTCAATTTCCGTTTTATTTTGTGAACGTCAACAAATGCGACCAGGGCCACTAGAGCTCCTTAAAACCCTTTCAAACAAGCTGACGTGACTGCTAAGTTCTCTGCGTGGCAATGAATCCAAACGCGTGGCCGGGGCGAGGGAGAGGCCGAGCTTCTTTAAGGGAAGTGTCCCGAGGAGACTGGGACCGGACACGCAGTCCTGATGAGCGAGGACATGAAGCTGACCCAGAGGTGGAGAAAGGCAGACAGCCCCGCACGTGATGGGCAACCTGAGCTAGGGCGCGGGAGGAAAGGTCCCCTCCGGGCATTCGGGGCACGAATTCAGAGGGTGGTCTCAGGGCGGACTAAAGGGGCTGGTCTTCCCTCCATTCAAAAGGAAATGTGACTTTGTCCCTCGCTTTTCCCACCCAGCCCTCAACCCCTCCCCTCTGATCGCCGCCAGTCTGTTCTCTGTCTGTGAGTCTGACCACAGCGTGGTGCCGGCCAGAGAAAAAGGGGGAGAGGGAGAGGAGGGAGGGGGCGCAAGTGGTGATGGGAGGAGCTTGACTTAGGGGGTGAGCATCCAGTACAGATGGTGGCTTATAGACCTGTACACCTGAAACCTATATAACCTTATTAAGCAATGTCACCCCGATAAATTCAACGAAAGCAAACCAAGAAAAAGAGACTGTAACAACGTCCATTCAAGGAGAAGAGACTGGAAGACACTGGAAGTCAGTTGCTGGATACACCGAGTCAAATATAAAAAAATAACCCAAGTAAAAAATGTCATTCGGACACTGAAAACCAGTTTCTTCTGAGCAACAGTGGAAATAAAAACAAACCTTGGTACGTGTATGTAACTCTCTACCGAAAGAATATTAGAATTTTAGAAAATCATTCAGGGGCCACTGCCAACTGTGTCTTCCCCACAAGGCTGTCGTTTCCGCGAGGACAGGGATGTGTCTGCGTCTCTCAGAACCGAACCGCAGAGCCCAGGACAGTCCTGGAGGTTGGGAGACTCCGGGTCCGATGGACACGTGAATGGAGAAACAAGCAGAGGGATCAAGGCCATTGTGCTCAGGCTTTTATTTAAAAGTCTGCTACTGTTTGTATCTCTGATGTGACTTCACCTTTCATCCAGAGTAGAATTAAATATTCATGTGATTATTTCCAGTGCAGAATGGCATTTTGAGAAGATTTTTCTAATGTCTTTAAAGGTCACATGAAAAGAGACCTTTATCATTTGCTCCCTGTTGCATAACAGATCTGCACCTCCATCTGTTGACAGCTACTTGAGTTGCAAGAAAGTCAATAGCGAGCGTGGCTCCTCGACTCAACCTGCTGGGATGACGGTGCCGTCACCCATCACCACTGGACGGCTCATGCAACAGGATACACCTACGTACTAAAAAATAATTCTCCCGTGTAGGAAATGCCTTCCTTGCCCAGGCCTCTGATACAACGCTGTCCTAGGTAGTGACCTGAAATAGAGGCGATGCCGGAATGGGACGGGATTCAAAATTATTTCGCTAGGGAATCAAAGCCCTTTCATCCATTTTCTCATTTTGCAGGAGAGTATCCTGGAAGGTTCGCGCAGATTTCTCCCTACGCTTGAGCAAGTGGGGATTACGCCTTCGTCGCCTGTGATTTCCCTCAGCAGCTCCGGCAGCCACAGGCGTCCGTCCTGTGAAGTCACTGAAGCGTAGTCGTCAGGCCCCTCACCTGCACGGCCCTCTTTCACGGCCAGGTGTGCAAATGTGAACACGTGAATTTTTTCTTCATACAGAAGTCCTCGTGGTACAGGGTGGGGCAGAAGCAGGCAGAGGTAAGTGGGTATCAGTAGAAGGGCTGTGGTCCTTCTCATCTATAACTTAGCCGAGCAGGGTGGGGGGCCCTTCTGTTAGGATCTGGCCGTTTCCCACCGGCCTCCAGGAGACAGTCTCCAGAAGGGACCCCGGCATACGCCCAGGTAGCTCCACAGACAGACAGACAGACAGAAGAAGACTCAACAAAGACCCCAGGACGCGCTTATTCACTGTCTGTCCTATTCTGCAAGTGGGAGAGAAAGGAGTTAAAGGACAGGGTGTCTGGAATTTCACACAGTCTTTAAAAAGAACACAAACATCCTCAATTTATGCCAAACATTCCAGATGTATGTTAATTTTCTGCTTTAATTACTACTATGTTCGAATGAGATTTTTTTTTTTTTTAATATGACACTCTGAGGTAGCTTTCCAAACAGGAAGAGGTCTTGAAATAGGGACTTTTAGTCAATGTAATGTTATGCATGGAATGATTTTTTTTTCATACAGACTTAATTGTATTGTGACACAAGTTCTTCAATGAGCCCCAGCTCCACACTGCAGGCGCGTCCCTCAGGGACACACCGCCAGGAGGTGCAGATTGCCAAGGTCAATTAAGCTGACGGAGCGGCTCTGTCATAGCCACAGAAGAGCCGCCCACACGCATATGACAAGCATATTTCTCCGTGTTCATAAAGGGATGTCAAGGATGCTGTATTTTAGTGCATAAATGCAAATTAACCCTCCCTAAACAATGCAACAGAAATCACAATGAAGAAGGAAGGTTCGTATTCTGTGTTGGCTTTGAGATGTTATAATAATGATGGGGAGAATTAAAAAAATTCAACATTTATAACAAAATGCTATCTTGAAAACACAGATGGATTCATCTGTGTGCTTGTTGTTTAATTTTGCATAACCTACGAGCCACGAGGACCAAAGCACAATGAAAAAACATGCAAGATGAGGCAACAGTCCTGGTAAATCAAGGCTGAGGGCAAAAATCTCAGCAAGAGCAAATAATCTCTAACTATAGGGCCAGGGGGTCAGAGGTCCGTTTAAGTAAACTAACCTGGGGTAAGAAAGGGACAGGCCGGAGAATGCCTTCAACCGAGAGTAATCAAAGCCTATGGCACAGGTTCTGTCTTCACATCTCCGGCATCGGAACGTTTGAAGCAAGATGCTGCCCACTCCCTTAGCACCACGGCACCCACACGAAGATTCGTCACTTTCTCTCATAGCCCCTCAAAAGTCAGCCTTGACCCTGCCCCTTCCTGCTCCTCCAGGACCCCAAGTATCGTCTCTGACTCTCCTTAGAATGTTGCATTTCTCCCAGTCTCCTCTCCTCTCCTCTCCTCTCGGAAAACTGGTTTTGACATGGTTCTGTTTTTTCACTGCCATACTAACGTCTTTCTTTACCTGATTTCTTACAGCCATTCACACTGACTGCCCAGGGCTTTCACCACCCACTTATTCCTTCCAGTCTGTCCCTGAAGTGAAGACACGGTCTCCACGGTCACCAAGTCCTGTGAC